CGAGGCGTGAGTGACTTCATTGAAGTCTCCCGCAACTAGCCACGGACCTTTGTAGTTGTTAGCCATTATTTTTCGGTTTTGCCATAGGATGAGTCTTTCTTCTAATAGGTTACTTGCATAGATAATAGAACATAGCCAACTTTTTGTTGAGTTATGTACCTTAACCATGGCGTGTATCTCTTGATCCGTACCTCCAATTTGATCTACTATGGTTTCTCCATTGTTCCACTTGAGCACGATGCCTCCCGAACTCCCATTGGCTGGCATTTGGATAAGGCTTGTGTAGCCAAAGTGATGCACTAAATTATGGTGATCCTCCAGTTTAGTTTCCAGAAGGGCTACAATGCTTGGCCTATGGTAATCGAGCATTGCTCGGAATGCTCTTCTAAACTCTGCGCTACTTACACCTCTACAATTACAGATAATCATATTTCTGCTTGAGTTTCTGGTTGAATCTCCTCTTTCGTGGCTACTAGCAAGGCTTAGGTTGCTCATCAAGCTTTCCCTGTGTGTCCAGTAGTGCAAGAACATTGTTGGCACAAGCACCACTGCATGCTGGTACAATCCTGGAGGGTTCATCTTCCTGATGGAGATGGAGCATTTCCTCAAATCCACTGGGCAACTTAAGATGAACCTTTTTTATTTTCTTACCTTGAATACCATTGTTTTTGGGTATCGAAACACTCTGTGCTCTACTATTCTTTCCATTGGTTCATCTTCCTCTTCTTCCATCTGTGTTTGGTTCAAGTCCTGCGAGGGGAGTGGTGTTGTTTCTTGGGGAATTGGTGCAGAGTGGTTGTTGTTGCTGGGATTTGGGGTCAGGTTGGTTTGGTGGTGGGTTTGCTGGGTTGGTGCTGGAGTATTGGTAGGGTTCGGGTACAGAGGTAGGTTTGGATTGGATAGGTTGTGTGTGTTGTGTTGATCCCATGTTTGATGGCTCCATAGAGATGGATGTAGGCCGGAGTTCTGGAGCATAGGGGATGGGTATGGGTGGAAAAGAGGGGTGTTCATCCATGGTCGAATCATTACATTGCTTAGGCCTAGTTGGAGGCCTTTCGCCACAATCTGGGCTAGGTAACTTGGATCTCCTATTTGGACTACTATGTCTCTCCCCTCTAGTTGTAGGCTTATGTTCAAGGCTTGGCCCATCAGTCCCCATTCCAGCCAAGATTGAGGCGCATGGTCTAGTTAAATGGGACTTGCGGAGAAGATCATAGGTGCTTGGGGTTGATTCACTATTTGGGGTCATGTCCAAACATTTCTTCGAGGTCTGGGGAACCTCCTATTGTGGTTGTTGGGTGGGAGTCTTGGCATTTTGTATTGTTTTTTTGTTTTGCTTTGTATCTTGTAGGGTAAGAGAGTTCTAGTCCTTGTTAGTATATATTGGGGTAGTAGAGCAAGTTCCAGTGTAATTTGGATCATTGACTTTGTCATCCGTTTGCTTCATCCTAGGATTCAAGTTGTCTTGTTCATTAATGGGATTTTGACTTGGAATTGACAAGGGGTATATTTGATTTGTACTATGAATGTTTCCTAACGGGTTAAGGGGGGTTTTTGTGGGGGTGATGTCCATGATTTGTGGGCTAATAATGTCAAGCATTAATGAGGAGTATTGATTAGTTGTAGGGATGAGAGGGTCTCTGTCCATGGTTAGGTTTTTAGGGCTCTTTCCCGTCGGCGCATTTAATGGTGAGTTTTTAGAGTTTTTTGTTTGGGAGGCATTTATGTCCAAAGGTTTTTGTGAGTAAATGCTAGGTGCATTTGATTCCTTTCTTATATTACCCTCTATATAGCCCGATATGGAAAAGACTGAGGCATCAGTTTTTTGTTCATGTTGATGCCTTAGGTCTTTGCCTGAAATTTTTGTCGAGCAGCCCTCTTTTTGGGAAGTGTTGTAGGTTGCCGTTTGCATGGAGCTTTGATCCTTTGCGATCCAGTTCAAGCTGTTGTTTATTTGCACGGTACTGTCCTTTAGGTTTAGTGTATTGTCCAGTGGATAGTTGTTGTTTATGTCACTTGTCTCTCTAGGGTTATTTGGTGCTAGGGGGCTTTGCACCAGGGCGGTGGTCGTTTTTGTCCACTGGTGCAAGTCTAGGTTAGGGATTTTGTTTGGTATCCTCTTGGAGTTCTCATAGTCCTTGCTAGGGTTGGATGCATTATTAGGAGTTTTTTTAGTTTTCCTTTGGTGGGACACTATGGTCCATTGATCAATTTTTTGTGTAATAGCCTCCACTTCATTTGGCCTGGGTGTGTCATTTCCATTTTGTTCGACTGCTTTAGGGTTTTGGCATGAACAGATATTTTGGTTATGTCCTAATCTTCCACAGTTTGTGCATAGTAAGTAGAAGCCTTTGTAGGTTATTTTCTGTATGTGTTTGCCAATCACAATGTAGGTTTTGATTGGTTTTCTATGGGTACTAATACGCAAAGACGGGCATACTTTCCTCTCATGGCAGATTTGGTACAGGCATCTATTCGAATTAGTTGCCCTAGCTTTCCTCCAATTTTTTGTAGTATGTCGTAGTCGTAGAATTCTGTAGGTAACTTCGGAAGTCTTGCCTATATTGCTGAGTATGTTAGAGAAGCTTTTGAGGCTACAAACCTGGGCTCCCATTTCCTCACAGTGAGAAATTGATTCCCAATGAACCAGGGGCCTTCATGAAGAGCTTTGTTGTAATTCTCTTCCTTGGTGAATCTTATCAGGTAGTAGTCGTACCCTAGATCTACGAGGGAAAGAGGTTCAGTTGGTCTCCAAATCGCATATAATTTTTTTTTTGGAGGAATTGGTATCCCACTCTTCTACCAAACATTTTTATAATGAGGGCGTTGGATCAGTTTTTGTAGATACATTCCTATCTGGAATGAAAAAATCGGGGTCTGGGTAGTTGTCCGTTTCGTCTTCAGGTTCATGCGATTCCAGGTTTTGTTGCACTATTACTTGGCTACAATCTGAAGCAGTGTTCATGCTAGATTTTAATGTGTCCAAAAATGACATCTTATTAGTGTTACTAGGGTTATTTTCCTTTCTTGATCCCTCCTGAGGGTGTTGGTCCACGCTTATTTCCATGTCTGTCGGGGGGATGATTTGAGGTGTGCATAGGGTTGGGATGGAGTTGGCTAACCCTTAAAGTGTTGTTAGGGGCGTCATTTTTGCTTCCAAAGGGGGGGGGGGGGGTTTGTTCTAGTTTGGACTGGATCAACAATGTTGTGTATGTTCAGGGAGAAATTCGAAAATAGCCAGATTTACCACTGGTCGTTGAAAAATAGCCAAGTTTCAAAAGTCATCGAAATTTAGCCACTTTAAATCTGAGTGAAAACACTGTTCAAAATCCGAAAAAATACGCCCGCAAATTTTACGGGAGTTCCAGCATAAGTATGCTTGAACTCCCGTAAATTTTACGGGAGTTCCAGGATAACTATGCTGGAACTCCCACAAATTTTACGGGAGTTCCAGCAAGTATAATTGTCCAGTATAATATACTGGAGTTTGGAGCACTGGTGCTCCAGTCTCCCGCAAATTTTACAGGAGTTAGCAAAGTATACCGGTCCAGCATAATATGCCGGAGTTCGTACACAAATGCACCAGAACTCCCGTATATTATACTGGACCGGTCCCTATTGCAGCAAAATAGTGGCTATTTTTTATTGACTTGATAAACGCTGGCTATTTTTCATTGACCAGTGTGAAAACTGGCTATACCATGATATTTACATTGGATGGAGAGAGGTGTGGTTTAAGGAGTCTTATTGGCTTACGGGAAATGGCAAGGGATGGGAGACAGTAGTTTCTAGAGAGAAGGGAGAGCATCTCACTCTAACCCATTCTCCCTTTTTACATAAATACTTACGGACTTGTATCCATATACATGAACTCGATCATAACGTAGTATTTTAGATACCTCCGGATCTGCGTGGTACAACTTGCCCAGACGTGGATCACACATCTATTAATCCACATCAGATAAAATTGTGCCTAAAATCTCTATTTCTAATTATGTTTTATATACTCGTGGAATCTATTTCTAATAATATCTTATCCAGCTTTGTGTTTATTACCCAAAAGTCACTTTTTTTTGTTACATAAAAATCATTCAACTTTGTATTCATTACTCAAAACTCACTTTTCTTTCTTTTGTTACACAAATATTATTTTACTTTGCTCTAGTTATCGCAAAAGTCACATTAACCAGATTTTATAATACTTTTATTTGTAAAGTCTATTATGCCCTGACAGTATAAATCCTCTCATTTATGTAATACCTTCTATATTGTATACTATACAATATATTTGTATCTAGGTATTTTACTTATAATTAAAAAAAATATTATTTTAATTACTATATGTATAATATATTTGTATATTTAACTTTTTCATGGCACTCAATTTGTTTAATCATATGCAAACATGAACATATTTTAAAATATAAAAAACAAAAAAAATTATTATTTAATATTTATTTAAAATAATACAACACTACAACATTTTAGGCCTTTCACTACACCTAAAAAGTGTGGCCTTAACTATCAAAAATTGTGGCCTTTAATAAAAGGCCACACTTTTGACCTAAGGCAACGTTTTTTGAGGGGTGGCCTAAACGAGTGTAACCTTTGCCCTAAGGCAACACTTTTCAAGTGTCGTTTTAGAAGCCACACTTGAAAAATGCGGCCAAAAGTGTAACAAGAGCCACACTTGTAATCCCCTCTACGGCAACACTTTTAGGTACTGCAACAACCCATTAAAAGCGTGACCATCGTTACTCTTTAGGCTACACTTCTCAAGCGTGGCTCCAAAAAGTAACACTTGTAAAGTATAGGTTTTGCTACCATATAGGCCACAAATTTTGCTAATCCCTGTTGCCATACTTCTGCGGTCAGTGAATTATATTTTGTACATATCTTATAATCAAATTTAAGTATAAAGATCTCAAGCACCTAATGAACTAGTAGATAATAAAAGAATAATCCAAATGCATAAACTTGCAATGAACTTCAAACAAGGAATAAATCTCGTGTAATACATCAACGAATAAAGAATCTTGTATCAAGGGGCATGCTAGCAATTAATTAACTTTATAAAAAGCAAATGTATTATTATAGTATCAGGAATAACAAAAATCATAATTGCCCAAAGTCTTGATGATTACATTCCATTCAGTCAAATTGTCGTTTGGCCACCATTTCCAACTGCTCACCAAGACTTTCCTGCACATTTAAAATAAAACTAGTAACTAGATAGAAATCAATAGTATGCAAGTGCAAACTTAGAGCAATATAACAGAGTTGTCCCTTGAAAATTTAAATACCAAGCACTATTCTAAGAAAAGATGTATGTTTTAAGTATAAGACTTGAGCCTAACCTAAACTAGTAAGGGTACACTATAATACTTCTCAATATTTATCAATTTTCTCATTAGTAGTTTTTGTGTGCATTGGCATCAACAGTTTCTTTTGTATTTTGCATTATCATCGACACTTTCTTTTGTACTTCTGTGAAAAATACATATCAAAAAATAGAAGGAAAAAAGAAGATACTTTCAAATTTCATTCAGTTGTGTCCATTACCGGAACACAAGTATACATTCACTCGATCATGTCCAATATAGAAAGACATATCCAAATTAACAGCTGATAGGACGGTGCTGTTACAGATAAAGAAAGATCCAAGAAAATAATGGGTTTGACGAGTACGACTTTATAATCCAAAATTGATGATAATCAGATTTAAGAGTAAATTACATATACATAAACTTTCATATCTTCAATGAGAATGTAAAAAAAGATACAACTTCGCGAACTATGTATCATGCAATATGTAATGGCTAAAAGAATCAATAAATTATTCTATCATTAACATTTACAAGTTTCAACTTACTCTCTGTTTCTACCAACTCAACCTTATCAATTTTACAATAGTTCGACATTAAAATCTTGTTCAAAAGCACCTCCAAATAGAAATAATGTACTAAAATTCCATAACATATCTCGCAGTACCAAAAAGAATATTAGCTTCATCTTTAGATGAAGACAATGTTGGCATAGGCTAACACGTTTACATGACATCTCAACACCTAATCAGATAGTTAAAATATATATTAAGAACCATGTCCCTGTCATATAAGTACTTTAAAATCTTTCATATTGGTTTCGTATTTTGATGCACGTGGAAATTATTCCTTTCTAACATGTAATTGTGAATCTCATGACATATATATGTTTGGGTTATCAATTGTACCTTTGATGTTGTACGTTCATCAAAATCTATATGGAGCAGACCTCTAGCCAATTTTGAGATTACTAATTCTCTGAAAACCTTGTCCTCCTACAAATAGCCACAAGACATTAACTTTATAACTAACAAAATAAACTAGACAGGAAAATCTTATAAATAAATATTCAAAAGACAATCAAAACTACCACAAAGAAAACAGTAGAGATGAAAATGCTAGGACCTCATGTAGCAAATCCAAGTGAAACTACTATGCAATCCTGTAAAAGACAGTTGGAAACAAATTTATATCGATAAGAAAACAGCATACCCCTTCCGCTTTAATTCTACTTCCTTTGTTTGACCAGAACTTAGATTGTCAAGGTATAATAACTGAGTTTGGACTAATTTGTTGAAATGTCTACTCAAAAATTCTAAAAGACAATAAAATATTATGTATAATGGTGCAATTGATTTCTTGTGATCTGCTAAGTAAAGGACCATAAAAATGATTAAGCATGTGCAAATACATAATCCTGCACCTGCACCTGCACCTGCACCTGCACCTGTAGATTTGACTAAACACTTTTGCATGCTAATTAAGACAGAACTTTAAGGTGTGCCATATATAAAATTCACCATCAAAACTCTAGTATATCCTCCAGAAATGCTCTTCAATAACATCGAGGCAGGCTGTATATGTATAATGCGCATGCCTGGAGAAATCTTCAAAACATGTTGTATAGTAGTTTCTAGAATAGCAGATGACTCCTGTATAGGTTTAATTTTATCTATCCTTTGAAATCTATTAGTACGAGCTTTACGTCCTTTTGCAATATATAATGCCAGATACAAGAAATTACTAAGAGGTCTTAAGAAGATACCACATCATAGATAATAGCCAACTCCTTCCCTACAACAGAAGTATTGATCTTGGATGATTGTCACATGGTAATAACTAGTTTTTAGTACAAGTATAGGTGGAAAGGAAAAAATACAACACCCGATTCTTCTTGCAATTAGATAATCTTTTAACTACGAAAAAATGTCAATCAGTTCAAACATTAATAAATATTACTGCAAGAAGCTATGTAAGAATGGGCTATCTTTTTTGCCAATTTCAACAGAACAAAATCGGCTTCGACCCATTGAATTTGCTATGTAAGAATTGGGGATGAAGCAAGATCTTGGTCAAGCAACAACAATTTAAAGAAGCAAGACATTTTTACCTCCACAACTAAATAATTCCAACATTCAGTTTAGGTAGACCTAGTTCAGCTCTCCAAGATGCAATTCGAGTACTGCACCACTAGAATAAAACAATGATATAAACATGTCAGCTTAAAAACTGAAGGCTACAAAAGTGTAAAATTAACCATGAAGTTGAACAGTACAATTTACGAAAATAACAAACCATAGCCTATTCTAAGCACCCACCACTGGCAAATCCTTGAACAATAGCACAAAAGGATTCTTTCTATCTAGAATAACCAACATTAGTACAAAGTTTATTGATAATTTATCTATGTCAGTATTTAAAAAACAAAGAACATCTCTAGATTCTAAAAAATATGACCAAAGACTTAGGGCCGAAAACAAATTACCAACCTACTTAAATAGTCCAACTCCTACAGTCACAAGCATGATATGGACAACAGAGTTCTGAATCATTCACAAAATTTGGAGAAAAATTGTGAGCTTGCAAGAGCAAGCCTTAACTTTTGGAAAAGAAAAAGAAAAACTCACTAAGGTAGAGAACAAACAATAAGAGGAAGAAAAGGAGTGAGCAAAATCAAAGTAGTGGAAGTGGGTATTGAAGTATTAGTGGTAATATTAGCAATTAGAGAAAAAATTACATGGATGAGTGCTCCGCGAGTAAGTCTTTGGGTATTTGACGACAATGGAGATACTATCAAGGTGGGTGGGAAGAACCAAAACCCTAATTAAAGCCTTAATCAAAGTATTCAAAACCCTAAACTGGAAACAACTGAAAATAAAGGGGCAGGAGGTTACCATTTTAAGACTTAACCAATCATTAATGTGGAAGCAGCGATAAAGCAGCAACAGAAGTGGTGGAAGATGCGGCAGTAAAAATGGAAATTTCTTCAACACCAGCAAGTCGACGGAGGTGTGGGATAAAAAATTGGCAAATATTTATTGTACTATCGTTTTTTCTTTTAGAAAATAGGAGAAAATATTTCATTTTTTCTTAAATTCCCTCCCAAATATTTCATTAGGAACAATAATGGAGGGAAACTTCTAATGAAAAATTTTATTGGAAAAGTTTAGAGCACCCTTATAAAGGGTTGCTTTTATGATTAAGAAATGGGACGCTCTAAAAACGTTGTAATATAGGTGAGTATGTGCTGCCAAATGTTCTTTGAGTTGACAACACTTAAAATGCGTTGTCTATATATTCAAAGAGAACTCTTAACAAGTGTGGTCTAAACTAGGCCACCCCTTTATAAGCGTTCCCATAGATGTTTTTGACAATGCTTTCCGAGCGTTGGCTAAAGTTAGTGTGGCCTTAGACCAAATTTGTTGTAGTGCAAATAGATTTATTTAACAAATGTAGTTTTTATAGTCTGTAAAAAATTTTAAAAAAAAAATCAAAGATATGTGTGTTTAATATTAAGTTTTTTAAAGATTTATTTGTTAATATTATTTCTGTGAAAATGTTAATCTAATATTTCAGTGTGCTAAATATGGGTATTTATTTATTGGATTAACGAATATGGTTGGGCTGATAAATCCGTGAGCTTTGATTTTAATTTTTATAAGAAATATTTCATTGGGCATAGTTAAGAACATTGTAATGTTACTGACAAATTTAGTAATGCTACCTATATATCTTGAAAACTAACTTTATATTATAAAAATAAAAAAATAATATATGTTAAGTTTTTTTAATTAAAAGTAATGCCTAGGTAAAAATATATTATATAGTAAATGGGAGGATTAAGATAACTAAAGCATAGTAAAATATTTTTTGTGTAACAAAAGAAACAAAAGTGACTTTTGAGTAATATACAAAGTTGAATGACTTTTACGTAACAAAAAAAATGTGACTTCTGGATAATGAACACAAAGCTAAATGATTATCCATAAAATTAACTCTGTTTTTATACGAAGAACCTTATGGAGCTATATTTGTAAACATATTTTTCCCTGCAGTGTTAGTTCCATAATCTTAAAATCACCTCCAATGATAGCCTATCGACTCTATATATTATAGAACTAGTTGTACCCGGTGCGTCTTTGTGAAAGTTGACTGCAAAATTTTGAACAATGAGATAAAGGACAAAATGAAATAAGTATTTGGTTTAATAATATATTCTTTCACATTAAAATGGCGAATCAAACTTCCAATTTATAATTGTTATCCAAAATTATGGTCGTCTTTTAGGACAAGGGTGACGACTGATGAAGAACTTTTGGTTCATAAATTTAATACTGTTTTCTTCCACTCATCGAATTTTAGGCCGAAATGATGGCTTTTTGTTGACTTCGACTACATAAATTCTATAAACCGTTATTGCTAAACTACCATCCATAATACACAAATTTCTGACCAAGCAAACAGAATGTGGTCTAAACAAAACCAAAATTATTTGCCTCAAATCCATTAACATAAATGTGAAGGAATTTAACAGCTATACACAGACAATATTAATTTTTTTTACCCTATCAAATCTCTAAGAAAACAACTATAGATGTTTATAAAAAGTAAAATTAATTTTCCAAAAAAATAAGATATACTCCCTCCGTCTTATATTAACAATCGTGGTTACTAAAAATAGTTATCTTAAACTATTTGTCACTTTAGAAGTTCGAGATAAAATTAATTATTTTTTTCTTTTTTACCCTTAGTAATAATTATCCTTGAAAACTACAAAACCTAACTTTGTTCAAATACCAATGAAGAAAGATTAAACCTTAAGACATAAATAAGGGTAAAGTAGTCAAAACTCATCCTAATTAATTTTTCTTAAGGAATATGTACAAGAAAATTATGACAAATAATATGAGACAGAGGAATATTATCTGCTAATTATACAAGTTAAATATTCCAATGTGAAAATTGCTGGAAGTTATTACCGTCACTTAACTAACTCGGCAAGAAGCTGTTACTCATTCCAATCTTTGCTTGTTCCCATAATTCTTTTGTCTATTTACGAAATAAAACTCGTGAGTAGATTCGAAAGCTACGTGTCGCAGGATGCTCAATTCTTGGTAACAAATGTAGCGTCCAGATGTTTTGCTACCAGAAAACATACAGGGACATGGCGTAAGTTCAAGGAATTTATGTTGGACTCATAAAAATGGTTCTTATCCACCATTAAGTTGTCATTTTGTAGTTGATTGCTTCTACTTTTAATTCGAAATTCTAGTAAGTAGTGCCCATGCTTTGGCGAAGAAAATAGAAGGAGATCTAGAGATTATATCCATACAAATACATAATCTTAGTTTTCTACAGCTCTAAAGGAATATTGCAATAGCTCAATTGAGCATTATCGATGTTGGTATAAATTATCAATTAGCACAATTGAAAGGCACCTAGTTACAAAAAATTATTCTAATGGGTCATCCCCGTGCCATCAAATTTTAAAGAAAAAGTGTCATCAAAGGATTAACTCAAAAATGATCTGGATGATTGTTTACCCTTAAAATCAGATATCAATTAAATCTGTAAGTGGTTTTAAGGATATGCGGATTAATCTGATACAAAGCGACATATTAAATAATGAAAAAATGAAGATAGAATAAATTCAAACCACAAGAATAAGATAGTTCCAGCCTTAGTGAAATAGTCACCCTTGGTTCGGGTTCACCACGACCAGCACTAATGAACAAGAGAAATAGCTAATAGTAGAGAAAATAATAATATATTGCTTTGGAGTGTGTGTTACAGTATGTTTTATGAGTAATCAGACCCCCTTTATATAGTAGGGGAGTTCTACATTTGGTACAACTCTATAAAAGGTGAAAAATCCTCTGATTAACTGATTGTCGGTTCCCTATCGAACATGTCGAGATCCCCGCCGTGATATCCGACTGGTCGCGAATATTTCGGTCTTCCGCTGGTTATGCTTGATTGTCGACAATGTACTGCGAAATTGTTCGAGTTTGGGACCAATTATAGAACCATGACCTCGGCAATCCCCGAGGGCAGGCGTCGTGTCCCCGGGCTCTGGCTCGATGGGACTTTCGGCTCAATTTTGGTCCCTTGCCACCATATCTCGCGCCTGGCGTATCTTGTTGGAAGTCGAGGTGCATCATGAGATCCGTTATACCCTAATACAAAAACTCCCCTCGTTTCTCGGAGGGTACATGACGAGAAACGACAAGAGCTTCCAATTCGTACTTCGACACATCGCGGCAGAAATGACAAAAGACCCGAAACGTCACGTCATAATGGCATCTAATGCATGTCGGCCGCCGGTCGGCTATCCCTGGACTCGAAACGTCGCCTAACTACTATAAATACCTCTTCCTTTGTTTATTTTTACTTTACATCAAACCTCCTACCCTCGTACCTTTAGCATTTCAACAATTTTAAGTGCTTTTACCCCCGTTACTCAAGGTCCTTTTGCAAAAAAATTCACTCGTTTTCTTCCTAAGCCAACAAGTCTAATTCATCAACTTCCTTTCTTTTTTCATCATTTCCAAATCTCCCTCCATTTTTACTTTCTAAAGGAATAGCAAAGACCTCCAAAACCGTTCCCAAAAAAGAAACTCCTTCTATTGTTGATGAACCAGTGGCCAAACCCCCCTTGAAAATGTTCGTCCTCGGGGGATGCTAGGCCAATAACGATTTCAAAGTTGAAAAACCTTCTTCCGTACAAGGTCGTTGTGAAGAGGTCTCGATATACATATGTTCGATTACCGAAGAGATCCTCCCTACCGTTCGGAAAGATTGCAACTGGGCCGACAAAAATGTAGTGGTCCCCGACCCCAATGAGGCCATTACCACCCATGTCGAGGGATACCTGAGTGTTTACACTTATCCATTTACATTGGGACCGGTGGACCCGGTCATCATAGACTTCTGCAAAAGATACGAGGTATGCCTCGGTCAGATCCATCCTTCAATGTGGAGGATCATGATCCTTCTATGATTTTTATGGACAAAGTCGACTCGTGTCATTGTATTGTGGATCATCTACTTCGTCTGTACAGTCCTCGAGTGTTCCGAGGGGGATTGATAAAGCTGGTGCACCGGGGTAGCAAGGCCCCATTATCAAGTATTGATGAGGACCGAGACCGAGGCTGGCAAGGCCGTTTTATCCGAGTGAGGACTTCGTACTTGATTCCGGCAGAATGTATGCCATTCCCTGAGAAATGGAATACATCACATAAGTAGAAACTTCCCTTCGACTGTTGATTTTATGTTTACTTCTTTTTTCTTTATCGGTATTCAGGTGATGCAGCCGTCACTTGGGTCCTGAATGTTATCCCTCAACTCAAGGAGTGGGTTGAAGGTATTGCTCACTGATGCCATACTCCGAGCGCTCATGGTGCAAACTCTCGAAGGGTTGTTGGGAGGCCCGCTCCCATGGTAAGATCTCTTTCCTGATCAGTTTGTGTTAGGTTTCTCTTTTTTAACATCAAATTCTAATTTCTTCTTCTTTCTTTTGCAGGTTTTCCTAAGGATGTTGAGCTTAGGCCTCCGGTCGGTGGCGAGGACTTGCCTTCCAAGTCTCCTGCTCCAGGGCAGGCCGGAGAGAGGAAAAGGAGGAGGGCTCCGAGCTCCCCGAGCTCGAAGAAAAAGAAGCTGCGAAGGAGGTTGGTCCGCAAGTCAAAAGAAACCTCCAGCTCCCAAGGGCTTGGCTCGGACTCACTCCTCCGGCTCAGAAACGAGTCCGAGGAGGACAAAATTTTTGTGGCCCGAGAGCCATCGGTCCCTGAGGAACGGGTGTCAGCCGAGGGGGGGACAACATAGGCCAATCCCTCCCAAATTCAAGAAGCCGATACAGCAGTGAGGGTTGAGAACCCTCAAGACGCCGGTTCTGCCCCACTTGGTGTCATTGACACAATGGGATCGCCTTCGTTCACGGCCTCGATGTTCAGTGAAGCTCAAACGATGTAGTAGTGATCGAATGAGGGGGTCCAAGGAGCGGGCGATCCCCTCCAAAGCATTTTTGATGGTGTGGACTCCACTGCAACTAAAGATGTCACCAGATTGAGTGACTTAGAAGTACCGAGGAAAAATCCTCCCTTGGGGAAAGGTGGGTCTAATGTGAGCCTGAGATTGGTCAACCGGTTCCCTGCCCCGAGTGTTGATCCTGGTCGGAAGCGGTCGATCATTATCACCATTTCGGAGGATGCTCGGGTTCTTTCCACACCTGTTAGGGTAGCTAGTTACCTCTGGTGCCTAGTAATCGAGGACGATCAGGCAAAAATGAACGAGGTGGATTCCTCATGCATGTTCAACGAAGCACAACAGGTGCTGAACCGGGTAAGGTGTCACCGAACCTTTTCATTTTTCAGGTTTGGTTATTGGTGATCTGAACATTTCTTCTCATATTTGCAGGCCTCGGTGCTTCCCCACGAGACCTTCCTCCGGTATCGAGAAAAGATGAGCCAACTCGAGGCCGAAGCTAGAGAGATCACCGAGAAAAGAGACATGTATAAACTTATCAGTGAGCAACGCGAAGAAGAGGCTAAGAGCCTTCGAGCCAAGTTGGACGCGGCTCAGAAAAAACATACCGACCTGGTGGAACAAGTAGAAATCTTAGAAGTTAGTGATGACGAGCTAGACACGGTGACTAATAGTCAGAACTCGCAAGTCCAACATAAGATCGATCGAATCGACCAGCTTCAGGAAATGGATGTAACCAAAGTTGAGGCCGAAGAGTGGAAAGGCAAGATGGACCCCTTA